TACCGATCATAAAAACCTGACTTATCTTTCGGAGGCCAAAAGATTGACACCCCGCCAGGCCAGATGGGCTCTGTTCTTGTCACGCTTCAACTATGTGGTTTCATATTTGCCTGGTTCCAAGAATGTCAGGGCTGATGCGTTATCACGGCAATACTCTGAGTTGTCCAGGGAGGACTCTGAGCCAATCTCGGTTATTCCTCCAGATCAGATCCTGGCTGCCATTCGCACCAGTCTGACCTCTCCTCTTGGGGAGCAGATTTTGGCGGCCCAATCTGATGCTCCCCCCGGGAGGCCGGAGGGTAGATGTTTTGTACCCAAGGGATTGCGCACCCGCCTGCTGCGTACCTACCATAACGCCAAAACTGCCGGGCATCCGGGGAAGAACCAGCTGTGTTGGGTCGTCTCTCGCTTATTCTGGTGGCCAACCCTCCGTGCCGACATTGCCTCTTATGTAGCGGCATGTTCGATCTGTGCCCAGAATAAGTCTCCACGGCATCTCCCTTTGGGTCTTCTGCAACCCATTCCCAATGGGGAGCGTCCTTGGTCACATCTAGGGATGGACTTTATTGTAGACCTCCCGGTGTCTCGGGGTCATACGGTCATCCTCATGATCGTCGATCGGTTTTCCAAGATGTGCCATTGCATTCCACTCAGGAAATTACCCACAGCGCAAGAACTGGCCCACGGTCTTTTCCAGGGAGATTTTTCGCCTGCATGGGTTGCCTAAGGTGATTGTCTCGGACCGCGGGAGTCAGTTCGTGTCCAGATTCTGGCGTGCCTTCTGCTCCTAGTTGGGTATTAGTCTCTCCTTTTCCTCAGCCTACCACCCGCAGTCCAATGGGGCTGCGGAGCGTTCCAATCAGGCCTTAGAACAATTCCTTCGATGTTATATTTCAGACCATCAGGACGATTGGGCCGATCTCCTGCCTTGGGCAGAGTTTGCCAGGAACTCGGCGGTCAACTCCTCCTCCGGGATGTCGCCCTTCATGGCCAACTATGGGTTCCAACCCGCAGTATTACCTGAGAGGTTCTCACCACAGGACATTCCGGCTGTGGAGAACCATCTTGCTGCCCTGCGTTCTTCATGGGGGCAGATCCAGAGGGCCTTGAGGGACTCAGCTCAGTGCCAAAAGTTCCAGGCTGATCGCAGACGGTTGCCCGCTCCTTCATACCAGGTCGGCGATCGGGTGTGGTTGTCTACTCGCAACCTCAATCTTCGGGTGCCCACACCCAAACTAGCTCCCCGTTTTGTCGTCGGTCCTTTCCGCATTCTCTGCAAAGTGAATCCGGTGGCCTATGCCCTTGCCCTTCCGTCTGGGATGCGGATCTCCAATATCTTTCATGTTTCTCTGTTGAAACCTCTGATCTGCAATCGCTTCACTACCTCTCTGCCTCGGCCCCGTCCTGTCCGGGTTGACGGTCATGAGGAGTATGAGGTGTCTTTGTGTTACTATTACTCTGTTCTGACTCTCGTGACTCTCCTGGTATTCTGATTCGGCTTGTGACTTGACTATTCTTTGTATTCTCCTTTGATCTGACCCTCTGTTGCTGAACCCGGCTTGTGACCTGTGATTCTCGTCTGCTGTCCTGTACTGTTTTGTCCTGTTGTTGTTGACCCCGGCTTGTCTGACTACTCTTTTGTTTCTTCCACCAGCTACACGCCATTGGAGGCGGCCACTACCGCAGCTGAGGTGTCTCGGGGGCCGCGACCTGGTTCCTGGCTGCATCAAGTCCATCCCCACCATCAGGGGCCCTGGTGAAGGGCAGCCTGGGACTTAGACTCCGCGCCCTGAGGGACTCCGGTCTGTGGGTGGTGGTTGTCGTCAGCCAGTGCGTTACATTGTTAGGTCTGCCTGTCCGTTCCCCGGCTCCTGCCCTGACAAATATCATATGATACAATGCAAATGAGTCCATATAGCACTAGGGCAAGCTCTTGTGGCTGTAGTAGGCTCTGGGTGAAGATACAAAAGGAGAAAAAATTATTATGATTTTTTTCTTTATATTTATATTAATTGTTATTATTTTGAATTTTTTTTTTTAATTTTTTATTATTTTTCATTATTTCTTTTTTTCATTATTTTTTAGTTTTTAGTTTTTGTTTTTTTGTATTTTTTTTTTATTTTTATTTATTTTTCATTATTTCATTTTTTTTATTTTTTTATTATTAATATATTCTCTATTATTTTTATCTTTATTTTTCCTCATCACTTCCCGCAGTAATTTTTAGCTATGTACCTTTAACCCATGATGTTTTACTATTGCCATTATTCATTCATCATTATTGTTAATTGTCATCAGGACTCCGTGTGTGTGTGTGTGTGTGTGTGTGTGTGTGTGTATGTATGTGTGTGTGTATATATATATATATATATATATTACACATTCACATCCTCTGTTTCAGCTTATGCTTGAGAAGGGAGGGCGCTTTTGCCTTCTAGTGGCCTCGTGCATGCTCCGAAACGCGTCACATTGCATGCTGGTCTCCCCTACGTCATCGTGCTGATGTTGCGCTCCAGGGTGCACTCCAAAACGCCATCTTCCGAGACTTACACATGCCGGCCGGCTTCTCGTGTACATCCTGAGTCTCCATCAGCACAGACCATGGCTATTACAGCAAGCACTCGGCCATGTCTTCTACTTTATATACCAAAGCTTTCTTTTATCCCTTCACCATGTGAGTGTTCTTTATATTGTTACTCAATAAATGTTTTACATACTGCACTTAGAGGTGCTTTTTTTCTCCTCTGGCAGAGGCTGTGCCCAAGCTTGTCATGTGATGTTATGGTGCAAGGGAGCTTCGTGTGCTGGTCTCTGGCAAGCCGGGAGCAGGACTGTCAGTGCTGTTTGGACTGAGTGGAGTGATAATATTTTATTTTAGCCATTGAAATGAATGGGACACATTTAGACATGTTTACAGGCGTCAAGCATTTTTTTCTGCCAAAGTGTCACTTCTGGATACACTGGCAGTGTTTTTTTCTCTGCCTCTAAACTCCTCTAAAAACCATGGAGACATAGGCTAACATGCCTTTAGACACAGAAAAAAAATGCCAGACAAAACAGACAGGAGCAGAAATGGAAAATGCAATTTACCTACTGTCGAAACCTCTAAACTCCCTTTTTATAATCCTGTGCTTACTGTTGGTGGTTGGGACACCTTCCATGTGCAATGCCAAGGGTGTATTTTGCTTTTGTCTCAACATAGATACTGTACCACACTGAGAAAATGTTCAGTCGGCTGTCCAGTACTAGGGTTGAGTGCATATGTCTGGGTTTGTTTTTTTTTTTTTGGGGGGGGGGGTCATCAAATTCTGAACTTATTCTGTACTGAAGTCTGAAAATTCTATTCTATCAGTCCCATAGTTGGGGGTGGTGCAAATTTGTTTGTACCCCCATCTTATATTTTTTTTCCTGATCACAGCTAAGATCATAGTCTAAATGGCTGCTGGAAAACCAATATTTGAAATGGTGGGACTAGATTGTCAATACACCCCCTTATGGGCCCTTTTAAGCCTTCTGACCCAATGTTTAATGGCAAGCAAGAGCAATTTTGGTAGTTGGTTTCTAAGATGGTGAAATTGTGTATTAGTTCTGCATGTCAAACCCATGCTTGACTCAAACTCAGATCTGTTCACTATTCAGTATTAATGAACCTGCCAATGACAAATAAATAGTATAACAAAAATGTCTTCTTTTTTATGCCATTTGATGCTATGCTGTCTAAGTAATGTATTGTGTTGTTTATGTTTTGCTGTGCTCTTGTTCACATTTTGTATATACAGGTATCTACCCTTGTTTGTGAAATTTTAACTGATAAAACATGTTTGACTAGTACTTTGTCATAGGAGGAAGCAGAACAAGGTGCTTGTACGTACTGATAATTCTCAACAAAGCTTCTCCTGTGCACTTGCAAAGCCTCCTTTTCTGAGCAGTCCCTAAAGTGAGCTAGCAGATACTGTATCCTCAACTGCCTTTGATGTGAGGGTAAGAGATTACAACATTTTGTAGCACACATCACAAATAAAAATAACAAATTACTGATAAAACTATCTCACATCCTACTCATCCTAGTATGTATATAAGTAATAAGATGTAATTACATTTTAATTCCCCTTGCAGATGACAAGCCATCAAACCAGTAATTTTGGTTTTGATAGCAAGTCGTAATATTCTTGCCAATTCCCAAGAATTTTTGAGCGATTCAATTTTCATTATACCCTAATTTCATCTTTGAGTGAGCGTTGTCACCAGGGTCAGTGTTAGACTATTGTGTGCCCTAGGCAAGATCAGCTACTTGCCCCCCCCCAAAAAAAAGTAAAAACAGTAGAAAATATTAAATCAACAAAACATGAAAATGCTACATTTCTTTTAATTTGCAAAAATAAGTGCCATAAGATGCTACCAGCACCAATATTAAAAAAACAAAATCAGTGTCACGCAGGGACTGTATCTGTGGCTGGCAGTGGCAGGGTGACAGTTGCAGTGAGTGGAGGATGATGGATCCACACTCTGACAGATTCCAGGCTGGAATTCCCCAGGCAATGGGGCAGAGATAAAACGCTGTGACAGCAGGCAGCCCAGCCCACACCACACACCACACAAAAACAGAGAACACCTGAACAGAGTGATCCCACGCAGTGACAGATCCAACACAACTCACCACTACCAACACTTACACAGATCAGCAGGCCCAGCAGGCACTAGAAGAGCAGGCTGTGAGATCATGATGATGTCATCACTCACTGCCACATTGCATATGTGATGGATGGCCAGCCACGAGAGATTAACCTCCCTGGCGGTATGATTATTTCAGATATTTGGTGCTGAAAGCGGTACCATTTTTTTGCATGGAAATATGTATTTTTTTTATTGTAGGCCTGTAATTTTTAGGAATAACTCACTGAAATCTGTCCGAACAAGAGTCTAGTAAACATCCCGGGTATGATAAAATTTGAAACACAAAATAAATTATAATTTAATAAATAATCATAAAAGTTTCCAGGCAGAAAGAACAGTCAAAATGCAGGCAGGGCACAGGACAAAGCACTACGGACAAAATGTATGTGAAATGGTTTGATACAGTAATGTTTTACTATGTCAAATTAATTTCTAAGAAAAAGACAGTTTTAAAAAATTTCTAAATTTGCCGCCGTTCCGGCCCCCGTACATCCCGACGCTCACAGGGGCCGGATGCCGGCATCGGCCGGAGGAGATGGCCGGGGACGCTGCAGGGGACGCATCGCGGGAGTGAAGGACAAGGTAAGCGCTGCAGGGAATCCCTGAGCAGCGCCGCATGGTAAGCCCAAGTGTAGCTTAGGGTTACCGCTTTTGGTACTGAAACTTTACCCCGAGGTACACTCGGGAATACCGCCAGGGAGGTTAAAGTCAGACATTACCTTCCACGGCAGGTGCAGCTCCGCCTCTGCTGATGAAGAGGTGGAGAAGGGCTGGAATTCCATAGTGTTCAGCAGCTGCCAGCCGGTTTCCAGTAAGGGACTTAGTCTGAGAGGAACACTGGAAAGAGCTTTACCTTAGCTGCTACACTGGCCCAAGACACCCGGCATCTTCCTCTGTCCTTTCTTCCTCCCTTCTGACGCCCCTCCCCTCAGGTGAAGGATCATTCAGGATGTGGTGGCATCCCACACACAGAGAGTGCCGGCCTGTGCTGCACCCAGGCACCCTTAGGTGGTAGTGCATCCTAGGTAGCTGCCTAGTTTGCCTAGTGGAAGCACCGACCCTGGTTGTAGCCCTAGTACAGGAAATGTGTTTTTGGCCATGTTAAAATAAAGGAAAAAAGCCTAAACAAATGCAGACATCTCTAGAATCTACAACTGGGATACATACAGTAAATCTTGCAGTGGTTCTAGCCTTCCTCTATTCTATAAAAGAAGGCATACGTTCTGTGTTGGTATTGTAGAATTATAGCAGTAAATAACACCCAATAGGGTTTCTATTCCTTCCCCACTCAATTCAAAACTAAAAAGTGATCATTGAAATAGTGCCAGCAAGTGTGTGGGGACCATGAAGTCAAAGGCATTGTAAAGTCTCGTACACATGATGAGACTATCGGACAAATGATGGTCTGCTTTTTTTTTGCATGTTAGTCTCAAATAGAAAATGAAGAGGTTGCTAAAGTTAGGAAAATTCTTGAAAGACAGAATACAACTTCAGAAGTGATGTATTGTATTGTATTGTAATGTATTTGTTCCTTTCTGGGTATGCATAATCTTAGTCGCTCTATTTTTTTTAAGGACAAATACTGTGTTGATTAAATGAAAATTGTGCGTTCTGTTATCGTATGAGAAAACTTTTCGTGCTTGTCCCTTAGGATAATTTGAACTGTCGCGATTGGCTCTCGAAAGCTGTGTACTATTGGATTATGGGATGATTGCTTCAAAAGCGGTATTTTTCATCCGATTTTCATAAGGATCTATTGTAACTGAAAATAAATCTAATAACTGTCATTGCTATTCTGTCCATAACACTTGGCAATCTGCCAATTGCAGGAAAGATTGGTAATTGCAATAGTATCTGTGTTTTAGTGTGGGCTATAATGGATTTCCTAGCCATCATTGCTCATATACAGTCCTGTAGGAAATGTATCTGCATCCTATATGCAACCTGAACTTAAAGGATAAGTTCACCTTTTTATGTTCCACCAGTTTTTAGGGTGGAACATTTAACATGTTCCAGCAACTGTAGCCTTTCCCCCCTCGTCCCTGTGATAGTGGACAGGGGATCCTCCCCCTGCACCTACTGTCACTGCTCTGACCGCACAGCCACATCATTCATTCATTGTTTCCTCTAAATGAATTCCTACAAGTACCGTCAGCCATTGTGGCTCACAACCTTGCAGTCCAGAGATTTTTCCTGCTCTCAGGTAACTGCCTGCCCATACCAGGTATGGGCAGACAACTATGCTGAGAGTCTGCAGGAGCTTGAGATTGTACCCATGATTTGCTGATTGTAGGTGCAATGCTCTGCAGGTGCCTTAGAAAAACATAATGCACATTTTTTTACCTGAAAAAAAAAAAGATATGCTTCTATTTTTTTTTTTAAAGATGAACTCATCCTTAAACCCACAAACCTTATTGGGGCTAGCAAAGGTTGTCTGTATATACAGATATGTCCTATAGATACTGAGACTGTTTGTTAGCCCCGGTTCAGCTGAGATAACTTTGTTGTTAGACTCTGGGAACTGAACTCTGGACTCAAGACACAGAAAACGGGGCTAGGACTTTTAAATATACCTACATATATCATTCTACAGATGTTTCTTCAATTGGTACTTTTACAATAAATGCACCATGGTTTAGGGCTCACAATTCAAACCACTTCTTTACATCTGACTACAGAAGGCGGCACTCGGGATAGATGGAGAGATGTTGGCTGCGGAAGCTACAGACCTAGTGTCAGGAAACACAACAGTGATTTACCTGTAGACTAACTGAAGTACCTGACTCCCCACTGCCACAACAGCAGCCATTGCAATATATTTCAAGTACCCCTTAATGCACTGGTAATACCCCAGGCTTTTGAAACCGCTAATATAGAATATTCATAAAACCATGGCTTGCAATACCCCCTCTATGCTGATGACACCCAGATCTATCTCTCCACTCCCCAGCTCACCCTCTCAACCTCCTCACGTATCACAAATCTACTAAGTGACATATCAGCATGCATGTCACACCACTACCTCAAACTCAATCTTTCCAAAACCAAGCTTGTAATATTTCTTCCTCCCCGATCCCCCACTCATAACTTTACCATTAGGATCAACAGCACAACCATTGGTCCTTCCCCTCATGCCAGGGTGCTAGGTGTAATCCTAGACTCTGACCTCTCCTTCAGGTCCCACATCCAATCACTGGCTAAATCCTGCCACCTCAGCAACATTTCAAAAATTCGCCCCTTCCTGACCAATGATACCACAAACAATTTATCCACGCCTTGGTTATATCCCGCTTTGATTATTGCAACTCCCTCCTCACTGGCCTACTGTTACATAGGTTATCCCCCCTTCAGTATATTATAAATGCTGCTGCTGGACTCATACACTTTACCAACCGATCAGCAACTGCTGCCCCTCTCTGCCAATCCCTTCACTGGCTTCCACTAACCCAATGTATAAAATTCAAAATACTAACCACAACATGCAAAGCCATCCACAACACTGCCCCTACCTACATCACCAACCTCATCTGCAGATATCGTCCAAATTGCCCGCTCCACTCCTCCCAAGACATATTGCTCTCTAGCTCCCTCATCACCTCCTCCCTCGCTCACCTCCAGGACTTCTCCAGAGCCTCTCCCATCCTCTGGAACTCCCTACCACAGTATGTCCGGTCACCCTGTCTGCCTTTAGGCAGTCTTTGAAAACTCCCTTCAGGGAAGCCTACCCCACCTCCACCTAAGAACTGTACTTAAACTGCTTCCATCAGATCATCGCGTACAGCTATCACCTTTTGTACCACCTCTCGCTTCCTTTAGATTGTAAGCTCCACGAGCAGGGCCCTCCTATTCCTTCTGTACTGAAATGTATTGTAATTGTACTGTCTTCCTTTATATTGTAAAGCGCTGCACTACCTGTTGGCACTATATAAATACTGTATAATAATAAAAAAACAAAATATAACAAGCAACTAGTTTCACTTGCCATATTATCTGGCATCAGCTGCCTGTGTTGTAATAAAAAAATCTATCCTTAAATAATACACACAGGCATAGTCAACATTGTGGGGATAGTCCCATACTATGATAATGGTTGTTATCATTGTCAGTGAGAATATAACATGTATTGTTTGCAATGGTTCAATGTTACTCCAACCAGCCTTGACTGTGTGGATGGGAACTTTTTGGAATTTGTATTACATACCTAAAATGTAATGTGAACAAAATTATTTATCAAAATATAGAAAAGTTGTGTTAATCACAAAAGAAAGTGACAATTCAAAACCTTGTAGCCCTAGCACTATTTAAAGGAAACCCAATACGAAGTTGTTTGAGATTCAGGATCTCTATTGATTTCTCATTAGCTGGAGTTACATTACATTATTTCAAAGCCTTTTAAAAAACAGACCTTTACTGGTTTTCCAAAAATGTTTTTTTGTAATAAAAACTTCTTACCTTTCTGTTGACATTCTTCTTGTGTGTATACACTGAACTGTGCAAAAAGAGCCATCTATGTCAACTAATCAGAAGCACAGGTATTTATTTACCTTTAACGACACCTTTTGTTTTAAAACTCAATCACTACTATAAGGAGCCTAGCACACAAATTAAATCAACATAATAAACACTAAACTTAAACTAAGATTTTGCCAAGGTCTAACTTAAAGTGGTTGTAAACCCTTACATACAGGGACGGACTGACAACTCATGGGGCCCCCCGGGCAATAGAGGATCATGGGGCCCCTGTGTACTTGCCCACACTCAAAAAAGCCTATAAAAAAGGTACTAGGGGCATTTCATGGGGCCCCCTACTGACCCCGGGCCCTCGGGCAGTGCCTGAGTGCTCAAATGGTCAGTCCGCCCCTGCTTACATATACCAAGTGAAATGACTGGCCTGAGGTGATACACAGAGATAAAACAAATCCTCCTACATGAGTACCTTTCTGCAGCCATTTCTTCTCTACATCCGTTCAAAGTGCTGAATTTATAAAGCTTGTGTGAGAGTTCAGAAAAAAGGGTGCAGAGAGCTGAAGTGACACACTGCAGAGCTCAGGGAGGAGAGCTCTTAGACCTGATTGGAGGGAAAGAGCACACCCCCTTCACACAGGCCCCAGGGACAGACCTGAGGCTGTCGATCAGCTGGAGGTCCTTCCTCTGTCACCATTTTTCTCTTGGTATCAGGAAAACTTGTCAGAACTGTTTCAATCTGATAGCAGAAGTAAGAAGCAGCACACAGAAATGACACTTAGTGCTTTTAACCCCTTGGCGCCGACTCCTCGTGGCCCTTTAAGGGTTCCAGAAGCCGGGAGGTGGGCGTGGTTTTAGGGTCATGTGACCGCCGTGATTCGCTGTCACGGCGGTCACATGATCGAGAAAGGTCTTGATCGAAAGAGGAGATCGGGACCTTTCCGTGAGTACTGAACGTGTGTGCTGAGAGCACATGCTCTCATCATATATGTTTTTTATAAATGGAACGCAAATGTGCGGCAGCTCGGCGTCTAGGCCCAGATGCCGAGAGGCCACACATTTGCGTTCGGCCGGCGCCAAGAGGTTAATTGAGACAAGTACACAATATAGAGGGATATGCTTTTATTTAATGTCTGAAAGGATATCCTATCCTGCCCTCAGCTAATAATGGAATCTTCTACTCCTCCTACCAGTCCATC